AGTTCTTTGTTTCTTCGATGGTCTTTTATTAACATGACTGATCTGTAGACTGCGTTTTGCAGACTTTTGATCATCAGTGTTGATAGGACAAGAAAGTTCATTTCTCACACAATTTTTAGAGGCCTAAGAATCGCGATGTTGGATTTCAAAATCGCGTGAATAAGAATTGCGATGCTTGATTTTAAAATCGCGTGAAAAAGCATCGCGATGCCGGATTTTAAAATCGCGTGAATAAGGCGATATCGGATTTTAAAATCGCGATGTTGAATTTTAAGATTGCGCGAATAAGAATGGCGATGTTCGATTTTAAAATAGGGTGAATAAGAATCGCGATGTTCGATTTTAAAATCGCTTGAATAAGAATCGTGATGTTGGATTTTAAAATCGAGTGAATAAGAACCATAATGTTTGATTTTAAAATCGCGTGAATAAGAATCGCGATGTTCAATTTTAAAATAGCGTGAATAAGAATCAAGATATTGAATTTTAAAATCACGTGAATAAGAATCACGATATTGGATTTTAAAAGCTCGAAAATACAAATCGCGGTATTGAATTTTTAAATCGCGTAAATAAGAATCACGATGCATAATTTTTAGAGTACGTGAATACTTATCGCAAAGAGTAATGTTTAAACCACGTATAAATACGAAAATCGATGTTTGATATTACAACCGCGTGATAACGAATCGCAATATTGAAATTTAAAAATAGTATATATGAATACGAATCGCGACATTGGATTTTAAACTAGCTGGAATATGAATCGCGATATTGGGTTTTAAAAACGTTTAAATACAAATAGTGATATTGGGTTTTAAAAACGCTTAAATACAAATCGCGATATTGAATTTTTAAATTGCGTGAATGGGAATTACGAGCAATGATTTTTAGATCGTGTAAAAACGAATCTCAACAAGTAACTTTTAAATCAATTAAATACAAAAATCGATGATTTACATAAAAATCATCTAAATAAGAATCGCAATTTTAGCAGATTCTGGCCCAGTTCCTAATATTTAAAATTCTGTAAATCAGCCAATCAAAAGAAATCAAATATCAGATGCCGAAACGAAACTGCTTGGGACTTTTTTTTTTCAAATCTATAGCAGAAGTCGTGGTTGTCAAGGCAACGGCGTACATGACGAAATTCTACCCATTTTCTTCTGAAGATCATTTTCTCAGGAGGTTACTGCAGGGGGGGGGGGTTTGTCTCGAGTTCGACNTATATCGTTCGTTCGACTCCCCAAAAGTTTTTGGAACATGGTCGGAAATTTTAAAAAGTCTTTCATCCCTAAAAAGATAAGAGAGTAGTGGAGTAGGAGACGGCATTGTTTTACCAAGGTCAACCACTTTTACCCCAGCCAGCAGATTGACATGTGAAGAAAGGTTTATTGGGGGCTTCAATACTTTCGCTCCGCGGAAGAAAAACATTTTCAACAAAATATCATTTGGTGCATAAAAAAATTTTCCGCGCGGAAATTTATGAAAAAGAGCGGAAGATATGAAAAAATCTGAAAAAAGCGGAAATCAGCGGATCCGCGGAAGAATGACATCCCTGCCATATATATGAATGAAAAACCTTGAAACAGTAACTTTTACTAAAAACTCTAACATGAAATTGCATCTTTGTCTTCTGAGTTGGGTTCAATTTAAGAAGGTAATAAAAGACAAAAAATTAATGGCAGAGAATTTTTTTTCCAAATCTAGTTCAATGAGACACAACGATTAAAAATACCTTTCTTCTTAGAAAATGGTATTTTTAATCGTTAAAAGATAAATGATTAAGTTTGAAAAAAAAAAACATTCCATTGTTTGTGTTTGGGAATTATAATTTATCATTAAAAAACAAAATAAAAAATATTACAGGGTGCGCAGCCAGATTAAGCACCTTTGAAGCACTCAAAAAATATTTTTTATTACTCCCCCCCCCCAAAAAAAATCATTACTAGAATCTGTGCAGTAACAAAAATTATTTTTTCCTATCATTTTAAAGTTATTATTTTCTAACCATAAAATCAAAAAAATTCAAAAACATTTTCAAAAACTTAACATAATCATGATAAAACAACTAGTTTCTGATAAATATTGCAGAGAAAATTATAAAAAATCATGAATTTTTTGTAATTTAGATACAGTAAAGAAAAAATCTCTTCCTAAAAGATAAAAAATTAAGCACTTTCTACAAACACCAAATAAAAAAGCACCTTTATGGGCTTTTAAAAAACGTAAATCAAAAATAAGCACCTTTAAGCACTTTTTAAAAACGCTACGCACCCTGTGTTATAAAAGAGAAGAAAACAACATTTTTTTGAAACACTAACAATTAATTTTGTAAAATTTAAAAGTTGTAATTGTGATAAAAAACAAAAGTCATAACAAAAAAGAAAGAGAAAAATAGAAAAAGCAGTTTTTTTTAATTGCAATGCAATTTTTTTTCTTCTAATTATTTAAACTAACAATTATTTAAAAAATACTATTACGTAAATTAACAACTACTTAACAAATACAAATAATTAAAAATAATCAAAGTTAGAAGGTTTAAAGTTTATTTCATGCATTTGACCTTTTTAATTAAGCTTATTTATTGCACATCATTTTGATAGTTATTACCTTTAAAACTAAAAGATTTTAGTGGTATAAAAATACACAGTTTATCAATTGCAAGTATGAAATTAAATAATTATAAAAAATGGAAAATAATCATAAATATAATAAAATGTTTATTAATAATATAGTTATAAATATAAAGTTATAAATTATTGATAAATTAAATAACGATTATTATCTATTAAACTACCTTAGAAGACCTTGATTTTGCTGATGACATCGTACTCTTTTTCATCCAAATGGACAGACCTTCAGCTTAAAACAGACAAATTCAACAAATATTCAAATAGTGTAGGTTTATTCATAAACAAGAAGAAAACTAAAGTAATGAGAATAAATCAAAAGAAAAATGACAAAATTAAAATCGAAAATCACGAAATAGATGACATAGAGTCATTTAGCTATTTAGGTTCTATTGTAGATAAAAAAGGTGGAAGTAGTGAAGATATTAGACAGAGAATAATCAAAGCAAGAACATGTTTTAAGGGATTACATAAATTTTGGAGAGAGTCAAATATTGAAATAAAGACAAAAATAGTTGTTTACAAAGCTATTGTTAGAGCAGTACTATTATATGGCGCAGAAACCTGGAAACAGACTAAGATCGAAATACAAAAATTAGAAACCTTTCAAAACAAATGTTTAAGATTTATTTTTAAAATTTTCTGGCCTTACAAAGTATCAAATCAAAATCTATTAAAGAAAGCTAAAATAAAAACAATCGAAGATGAAATTAAAAAACGAAGATGGAGCTGGCTCGGACATATCCTTAGAATGCCCAAAGAAAAAATTTCATCTGTTGCGCTTACATGGGCCCCTGATGGTAAAAGAACAAGAGGAAGACCCAGACTTACCATCCAGCGCATGTTTTTGGGCGAATTAAAAGAATGTAGAATATCTGGCAGGGAGGAAGCAAGATCTATTGCTAGAGACATAAGGCGTTGGAGGGATATGCTAGAGGCCTTAAGTGCCCAAAGGCACATAGAGGATAAGTAAGTATTAACTAATATATTCGTAAAGCAAAAAACTTTCGATAATATAAATTTCAAAGTTTCGTAATATCATGATGAAATTTCTGAATGAATCATTTACGCTTATTTAAAAGCATTCAAAGAATGATTTTTGGAAAATTTAAGAATTAAAAATATATTTAATTTCCTGTTGTCATTTTTTATTTTAAGAATATTTCGCTTTTTTTCCCTCAAACTTTTAGTAAATATAGTTAGAAGAAGAATCGATTCATTTGTAATACATAAAATAATGCTAACAAATTTAATACAAATTCTTGAATAAAGAGCAAAGATTAAAATAAACAGATATTTAATTTGGACTATGTAATTGTCAAAATTAATGGGAAATTCATCTCCATCCCCTTTTAAAGAAAACGCACCCTTTTGTGTACTATGAGAAAGAGGTCACGACCCCCTCGCAAAGGGAAACTCTTAACTAGTCACTTTCTTAAGTTAATCTGTCCCTTTTTCAGCATACATAAACTTCAAGAGGAGTAATTTTTTGGAAGAAAAAAAAAACTCTAATTAAATCTCTCCTTTAAAGCACTTTATTTTCAAATGAATACTACTATAAAGTGAACAAAAAGACTTGAACTTAACTTAGTAAAAATATACTCCCACATTATAGTTGATTCCTCAAAGCTGCTATTAGTGTTTCTGGCTTTCACAAATTATAAACAGACCTTACACCACTTTATTTTTTAGATAATAAACTGAAAATAACTATGAAAAAAATATGAAAATAAATAGAAAAATAAAATTGAAAAAAAATAATAATGATAAATTTGGGAGAAACAAAATGCAGTTTTGTAGTGTGTACCATAATGTGATGTATAACCATAATGTATGCTTATTTTTAAAAAATGGTATCATGACCTACTTCGAAGACGCCCGCTAGATAGGTTTGTATAAGAATTTCTATTTCTTTAATCCAGGCTAGATGAGTGAACGTTCATTCTTTATTAAGTCGCATACGCATAATTATTACTATCAGGCTCTGTTACAGAAACTATTTAATAACTTGAAAATATGATGTTAATGTTTAAAAACTCTCAATTCGTTCCAAATTAAACACTTTAAAATATAAATCAAAATTTTAATCCTGCATCCCTATAACTTAAAAAACTATTACATTACATACATCAAAAATATGGTGTTAATAGGATAAACAATACTATATTTAGTCAGATGACATTTTTGAGAAAAACTCTTATTCCATTACACAACAACAAAAAAATTTCTCACCAGTAAAAACACAAACAGTAAAGTCAGCTTTTGAAAAATTAGAATGAGGTTTTTCACCAGTATGAATAAAACTACAATAAATTAGATGGACCTAAAGTGAAAAAAAAAAGAAAACTTTTAACAAGAATATGGCTTTTAAATAACATGAACATGACTGTGACTAGTTAGATAATTCTTTCTTGAAAAAGCTTTATTACATATTGTACTACATGAGTAAGGTTTGTTAACATTATGAAGACAACTAAGTTGAGTCAAACTACCTCTTAATGAAAAACTCTTGTTACATGCTCTACAAGAATAAGGTTTCTCTCTAGTATGAGCACTGCCCGTGAACCGTAAGATTACTTTTTGTGAGAAACTCTTATTATATGCAATACATGAATAAGGTTTCTCACCAGTATGAACATGGCAGTGTTTATTCAGAAACACTCTTTTCAAAATTTTCTTATTATAACAAAAATAAGGCTTCTCCCCAGTATGATCAAGACAGTGTTCATTCAGAGTTCCTCTTTCTGAAATACAAAAATAAGGCTTCTCACCAGTATGAACACTACTGCGCGTAATGAGTTTTGTGAAAATTTTTGGTTACATATACTTCATGAATAAGGTTTCTCACCAGTATGAACAAGACTGTGTTTTGTTAAACTACATTTTAGAGAAAAACTTTTATTACATATACTACAAGAGTAAGGCTTCTCAACAGTATGAACACGACTGTGTTTTTTCAGACTACCTTTTAGTGCAAAACTTTTATTGCATATACTACAAGAATAAGGCTTCTCCCCAGTATGAACAAGACTGTGTCCATTCAGGGCCCCTCTCTTTGAAAAACTCTTATTACATACACTACAAGAATAAGGCTTCTCACCAGTATGAACACGACTGTGTTCTGTTAGACTACCTTTTTGTGAAAAACTCTTATTACATATACTACAAGAAAAAGGCTTCTCACCAGTATGAACAAGACTGTGTTTATTCAGAGTTCCTCTTTCTGAAAAACTCGCATTACATATACTACAAGAATAAGGCTTCTCACCAGTATGAACACGGCTGTGTTCCGTCAGACTAAATTTTTGTGAAAAACTCTTATTACATATACTACAAGAATAAGGCTTCTCACCAGTATGAACAAAATTGTGTTTATTCAGACTAGTTTTCCATGAAAAACTCTTATTACATATACTACAAGAATAAGGCTTCTCACCAGTATGAACAATGCTGTGTCTCATCAGTTGACTGTTTTCTGAAAAACTCTTATTACATATACTACAAGAATAAGGTTTCTCACCAGTATGAACACTACTGTGTGTAGTGAGATGCCTTTTTCGTGAAAAATTCTTATTACATACACTACAAGAATAAGGCTTCTCACCAGTATGAACAAGACTGTGTTTATTCATACTACCTTTATAAGAAAAACTCTTCTTACATATACTACAAGAATAAGGTTTCTCACCAGTATGAACACTACTATGTGTAGTGAGATGACTTTTTCGTGAGAAATTCTTATTACATAAACTACAAGAATAAGGTTTCTCACCAGTATGAACATGAATGTGTTTGGTCAGACTGCTTTTTAGTGAAAAAATTTCATTACATATACTACAAGAATAAGGCTTCTCACCAGTATGAACACGATTGTGTTTAGTCATATTACTTTTTTCTGAAAAACTCTTATTACATATACTACAAGAAAATGGCTTCTCACCACAACTGTGTTTATTCAGATGCTCACTTTGAGAAAAACTCTTATTACATACACTACAAGAATAAGGTTTCTCACCAGTATAAACACTTGTGCAAAACCCTTATTGTATGTACTACAAGAATAAGATATTTTCCCAGTATAAATTAAGTATAAAAAGCAGTATAAAAAGCAAAAAAAAAAATTTTTTTCTTCACTTTCACAAACTTAAAAGATTTACCATTATCTATTAAAATATAAAAAAACTATAATTGCCAATTTTTATATCAATGTTCTATCATGCACAAGAAAAGCAAGCTATTATTCATTACCATAAATATGAGAAGGTTAAAAAAGTTAAATTCTATTTTTGAGTATTAAATTGTCTTAACAGAAAATATTTTCTCAGTGTGAACAGGAAAATAACAATTTAAATTTGTTGTGTATAAATATCAAATCATATGTATTTCGTGAAAGTGACAGACAGTTTAATTATCTGCATCTGCAATTTTAACCTATTTATAACTGTTTAGTAATGCACTGCATGAAAAGTTTGTTGAAAGTGTTACTTAAACCAAATTATTCTTTTTTCTTGATTAATTTATCACAATGACTGCTTAAATAAATTATTTCCATATTATGAACTCAAAACAATTTCTTTTTGTACACTTTTTAGAACAGAAGTAAATTGCTTTTCAATAAAAAAGTATATTTATGAACTACACTTGGAAACTTATAAACATACTAACTACAAACATTAAATTTCCATGTGCAAAAATATTTTTCTGTCAGAACATCATTGCAACTGTGACACACATTGCACAGAGAGTATTTGCTGTTAGTATCTCAACATAGAATGAGATTGTCTTTAATAATAATGTTTCCTTTCGCCAGAAAGAAATTACACACACACTTAATGAATAGCCTATAGATTATATAAATCGTACCGAAAACATAATCTTTAAAAAATTAAAAATATATTTGCATGCACAGTATGAATTTTATTTACTGTCAGCAAGAAAGTATTTTATCACTCACATCGATTTTTCCCCGTACATAGCAGATATTTGAATTAGATCTGCATGGAAATAACCTTTGTATAGCGCTATCTATATTGTTCCTGTTACTATGATGGTAATTCTCTTTACATTTGTAAGATTATGGAAATGCAGGCTTATAAATTTAATCCAAGTAGGGGAAAAATAAAACAGAAATAGGGTTAATTAAAGTCTTTTTCGGTATCAGTAAGAAAGCATGTTTTAATATAGTTTCTCAGCAAAGAATTTTTCAGCAAATAAGTACACATTTGCGGTGAACGTTGGTTACGTTATCGGTTGCCTACTTCAACACACCTGATGTCCAGAATCTTGGGACAGTTCTTAAAAAGTAAAGTAAGCTACTACAGAATATCAACTTGTCCTTTTCTTAAGAGAGCATTCATACTGCATTGTAGAAAACCGCATATGCTATTCTAAAGATGCCATTGAGAAAATGATTGGGAGATTTTTTGCGAGTATAGTATTTCACTAACGAAGTCGCGTTTGCATCTCAGAATTCACACACAGGAGTTTTAAGCATGCACTATTTTCGTGTCTTGAAGGAACATTATCACATTTAACACACCTCCGATTGCTTGAGGAAGAATGAGAGCCTAAATTGATGATCCTCTTATGTCGACGATGATTGAAAGTGCGTTGATCACATTCTGCGTCAATTAATTAGAAAATATTTGTAAACAAAATAGAAATTTCTATATATTTATAAATAATATTTCAAGATATCCATCTTCCATTTGAAGAGCCTTTAAATTTACGTTACGCGCTTCTTGTTGAAGAGAATGTTTATTATTTGATTTGTACATAGCTTGTATAATTTAGCTTGTAACTTTCAAATACTGGTAACACATTTTCAAATTGCAATTGATGTCTGTTAATTTTTCATTCATTGGTGGCAACAACACATGACGTAAATAAAGATGTTGGGATTTCCCAGTATTAAAACGTCTGCTTAAGATTTTAAGCAAGTTAAAGGTCAGTTGCACTTTCACAATTGACTTTTAACATTTAAGTTATTGAATTTTGACTTATTAGTTATTCTTGCAGTTATTTTTTTATTTCATTTTATTAGATAGCTATGTCTCAGCATCTTCTAGACTCTAGAGTGGTATATATACACGATTTACCTTATCAACCTAGAAAAGCTCTATGTGACATACTTGATGCCGATAAGAGCTGGGAAAAATTAGGTATTGTTGTTGTTTTGAAAATATTTTTGGCTAAAACTGGTTATTACTTCAGTCATAAATATCAGACATTAAATATCAGTTGCTGTTGATAATAATATTAGATGAGGCAAAGTAGGGATTTTTACACAAATTCTACAATGAGATGCCTTAACTCTGATTTATCCTTTTTCTACTTAATATAAAAAAAAATAATAATAATTCGCTGTATCTGCTTTAACCGTGCCCCAAACTATCTTAAATGAAGTTTTGATTATTTGAAGTATATTCCTCAAATAAGCCAGCAATAAGCGGAGTTCATTAAATTCAAAATTTTTACAGCGATTCGAATAGCCTAATATAATCACACGTTCTTTATACCAGTGAAAAAATAAATAATCAATAAATTGGCGGTGGTCAACATAACATTACCAAGGCAATTAATGTAGCTGAAAAATCTTCGCTGTTTTAAAAAAATTATTTGTTGTCTTGTCACTCCAGTTAGTGAATTAGCTAGGATACGTTTTTTGCTTCAGGAAATAAAGTAAATAATAAATATTGATCTATATTACAAAATCATACACAAATTTGAAAGACATATATGCAAGCACAATTAATCAGGCTTAAATAATTTCAATTTTATAATAATGTATTTGTGGCCTTTTTCTTTGACTTTACATTATTGGATTAAATAAAAAAAATACAGTATTAGAAGTTCTAGTGCTATTTTTAGTAGATGCCTGCTAAAACAGCGCCTATTACCATCAGCATGCTTAGACATTTTTATAAGGGTGGGCCTTTGAAGTTATAAATGCTTTGACATTTAAATGCAATTTCGATGTCTAAACACTTTTTGATGAAAATGTTAGTTCATAATAAAACTTTATCCATCATCATTCACTTTATGTATAAAATAGAATGTATGAGCTAAAAAAAAAAAGAATCAAAACAGTTTCAGGAAATACAGAAATATAGATATTTTTTATATCTAGACTGTTTTGAAAACGTAAAATATTTAATTTATTACAGTAATGTTTAGAATTATAATTTTTAACATTATAATCATTTTTACCAATTAATTCTTACAATATTTTTTATTGGTATTATATTATTTTATTTAACGAGTGACATTATGATGTCATTTGTTTATGTTACTTTCAAACAATACGCATGTATAATTTCTGGTTTTCCAAAAAAAAATAAATAAATAAATAATATTTTATTTAAGAATAATTTTTTTTTAAAGAATAAGTAGGGTTTACACAAGCAATGAAAATTTAGTGACCTAATAGGGCCATCTAGGTGTTCATTTGTGATCCAAAAACTTGTTAGGTACACAAACTTAAAAAAAACATCAAACTTTACAATTGCATAATTTAATTTATGGTACACATCAAAAATTATTAATTATCATTGATAACACTCTAAAACTAAGTTCATTATCTCATAATGATTAAAGATTAGTATTTATTAAAATTAATTTTAAAAAAAACCTGAAATAATATTATTAAATTTAATATATAGAATAAAATTCTGAGACAAAGCAAATGAAGAAAACAACAAAAAGTAAGAGGTAACAAAATGTTATATTAACAGTTAATTATCTTAAAAATATTAAATTTTAAATAAATACAATATTAAAAGAGAAAATGTTTTATTGATGACCAATAACAGGGGTCTGTCCAGACAAAATTTATTACCGTTTGACGGTACCTTCACAAATTCAACTTTAGGAAAAACGCTAATTTCACAAAATACTTTCTTAAAATTTTATTTTTAAATCCCTTAAGAAACGATAAATCCATATTTTTGTGTTGAATTTTTAATATAATTTTTAATTTTCACAAAATAGGTACCTCTAAGGAAAACCTCGACAGGCCCCTGAATAATATTGTCAATAGATGAATGCAAAGCACATCAGAGCATGTAAAGTTGAAATTTTAACAGTTAAAAAATGTTTGTGCTAGACACTTAGTTCTTCCATTTGAATTCTCTAACAACGTAAATTTTTTTTGTATGCATGGCATTCAATGCAAAGAAAAATTCTTTTTCATTACTATTTTGTAAATTCCAAATATTTAAAAGTGACTAATTTTTTGCTCATGTGATTGACTGAATGTTTAGCCGAACATTCGGCAACATACTTTTGAAAAAGTATTTTTCAACAAAGTATTTTTTTAAAAATTTGAGTAGATTTAATTAAAAATAAATTAAAATAGTATTTTTATCTCATCCTTAAGGATGTGTTTTCAATATATTTACTAAGCTCTAAAATTCATGTATTCTCAAATTTATGTTCTGGAAGACAGTTATATAGTAATTTTTAACTTTATTTTATTTTTTATAAACTTTTAAGTGTAATTTTTCTTTATAAAATTTTACTATTTATGAACCAATAAATTTTAAGCTGCTTTTATTTTTTAAAAAAATGAGACGAAACTTTATTTTATTTTTAGAATTTGTTTATTAGTCAATTTTTTATTATTTTTATAAAAAATAGCTAAAATGTTGAATTTCTTAAAGTTTTTTTTTTTGTTTTATTAAAGATCTATTCAAGATTTCTGATAGTTTGGTTTTGATTCAAATATGACTTTCTGTGTTTTTACGTATTATATCATGCACATTATATATCATGATAAAAACTTCATACCTCTCCCTGTCCTTGGCACTTTTCGGAAAATTTCTGAAATTCCACTTAATTTACCTTTCCTACTCCTATTAAGATTTCCACCAAATACCACTCAATAATTACCTCTCCTCTTTTGGAAGCGAACTTCAATTGCATTATTATTCTATCATTTGCTGCATTATTACTCTATTCTTTTCTGCATTGTTACTCTATGCTTTTCTGCATTATTTCTCTGCTTTTCTGCATTATTACTCTATTCTTTTCTGCATTATTACTCTATGCTTTTCTGCATTATAACTCTATCTTATCGCACTTTCTTGCAGAAATTTGTCCCCCACATAGTGGAAGTTAACTGTTTTATCCAGTTATGATTAGGAAGTGTTTTGTTCCTTATCATGTTCCTAGGAGGAAGCCGTAGCAGGTTAGTAGCATGCATTGTTATCGGCAGATATTTTGGTAAAGTTATACATATTTCGGCATTCTTTATTCGTAACACATTCTAAGAAAAAGTTAAGATATAACTTTTTTTTTAAATTAATTTTTTTAAGATAGTAATATTTTTGTAGTTTTAAACAAGCATGCATTTCACAAGTTATTTAAAAAATTTACAAATTTTTTTATTTAAAATTTTTCTTTAAGAGATTAAATAAACTGTTACAAATAAATAGTACATAGTTGGAAATTATATTCTTGTTTTGAAATCATTAACTCGTTTATTCTGATAGATATAAAGAACTTTTTAGGACCGTTTGGAACGAGGTGCAATTGAAAAACTGTTTTTTTTTATTTTTTTATAGAAATAAAGAACTTTTTAGGACTGTTTGAAACGAGGTGCTATTGAAAAAAATGAACATCATAACTTTTTAGCATTTTTGAAGCTTGCTTATTAATACATACATATACTGGTGCATATGCTGTACCGGCCTTAAGCAAAAGGTTTATATTTTATTGATAGGTGGCCTTTATTCTTTATATATTTGATGTCTCTTTGATAGGTGTTCTTTATTCTTAATATATTTAATATTTCTTTGATAGGTGGCCATCTGCAGTACGATGTGACAACTTTGATACTAATTGGGCAGTCAGTGTATCGAGATAAAAGTCCCACTTCAGAACTTTTAAACAAGTTTAGTGAGAAAAATGGTACTATAAAGCATCTCTTTGTTCTCCTGGCCAAAATGGATCATCAAAGGGCTATGTCGATTTTGAGACCCTATGGTAAGTATTTTTGTGTGTACTATGTTTAAGGTTTCAAATTTATTTTTTGTGTAAAAATCTAGATATAATCAAGTCTCTAAATACTGTTTTCTCAAGAACATTTGAAAGGATCTGTAATACGGGAAATTAATTGTATGTGGCTATATTTTGAAAAGTTTAACTGGTTAAAGTGCTTGTCATAATTTTCAATTTTGTATATTAAATATTAGTACTAACTCTTTAGCTGAGACAGAAGCTCTTCATTAAAATGATTGCTAAGTTTTTGAAGTATTACAAATAATTATAATTACTGTATGCTTCTGACTATCTGGCTTAGTACAAAGAAAAAGAATAATCGATGCATGCAAATATGAGAAATATTAAAGCACTCATCTGTACAGTACGCAAAAAAATATACATATATATATATGTGTGTGTCACTCTGAATAACTTTAGTTTTAATGATCGGATTTTAACGTACTAAGTACCAATCTTAATGGTTTCCAAAGGTGACTTCAAATATGTTAATTAATTAGTGCTAACTATTAAATTATGAAATCAGACTCAAAAATGCTCTTCTTCTGAGTAAACATGATTTTTCTTTTATATTTCAATTCCTAACCCTCCAAATAGGGGTTTAGACAAAATTTCGAAAAAATTGAATTAAAAATCGGCATGCTAAAAAGTTATATATACAGTAGAGAACCAATTATCCGGGATGCTCGGGACCATCGCTATCCCGGATATCTGAATTTCCCGGTTTTCTGGATCGACCAAAAAGTGTCGTTAATCGATGTTTTATCGAACCCGAAGTACAAGGAAAAAGTGTAATGCATAAAGTAAGAGAAAAAAGAAAGGTACTCCTAACTTTAAAAAGAAAAAAAAAANATAATGATTAAAGATTAGTATTTATTAAAATTAATTTTAAAAAAAACCTGAAATAATATTATTAAATTTAATATATAGAATAAAATTCTGAGACAAAGCAAATGAAGAAAACAACAAAAAGTAAGAGGTAACAAAATGTTATATTAACAGTTAATTATCTTAAAAATATTAAATTTTAAATAAATACAATATTAAAAGAGAAAATGTTTTATTGATGACCAATAACAGGGGTCTGTCCAGACAAAATTTATTACCGTTTGACGGTACCTTCACAAATTCAACTTTAGGAAAAACGCTAATTTCACAAAATACTTTCTTAAAATTTTATTTTTAAATCCCTTAAGAAACGATAAATCCATATTTTTGTGTTGAATTTTTAATATAATTTTTAATTTTCACAAAATAGGTACCTCTAAGGAAAACCTCGACAGGCCCCTGAATAATATTGTCAATAGATGAATGCAAAGCACATCAGAGCATGTAAAGTTGAAATTTTAACAGTTAAAAAATGTTTGTGCTAGACACTTAGTTCTTCCATTTGAATTCTCTAACAACGTAAATTTTTTTTGTATGCATGGCATTCAATGCAAAGAAAAATTCTTTTTCATTACTATTTTGTAAATTCCAAATATTTAAAAGTGACTAATTTTTTGCTCATGTGATTGACTGAATGTTTAGCCGAACATTCGGCAACATACTTTTGAAAAAGTATTTTTCAACAAAGTATTTTTTTAAAAATTTGAGTAGATTTAATTAAAAATAAATTAAAATAGTATTTTTATCTCATCCTTAAGGATGTGTTTTCAATATATTTACTAAGCTCTAAAATTCATGTATTCTCAAATTTATGTTCTGGAAGACAGTTATATAGTAATTTTTAACTTTATTTTATTTTTTATAAACTTTTAAGTGTAATTTTTCTTTATAAAATTTTACTATTTATGAACCAATAAATTTTAAGCTGCTTTTATTTTTTAAAAAAATGAGACGAAACTTTATTTTATTTTTAGAATTTGTTTATTAGTCAATTTTTTATTATTTTTATAAAAAATAGCTAAAATGTTGAATTTCTTAAAGTTTTTTTTTTTGTTTTATTAAAGATCTATTCAAGATTTCTGATAGTTTGGTTTTGATTCAAATATGACTTTCTGTGTTTTTACGTATTATATCATGCACATTATATATCATGATAAAAACTTCATACCTCTCCCTGTCCTTGGCACTTTTCGGAAAATTTCTGAAATTCCACTTAATTTACCTTTCCTACTCCTATTAAGATTTCCACCAAATACCACTCAATAATTACCTCTCCTCTTTTGGAAGCGAACTTCAATTGCATTATTATTCTATCATTTGCTGCATTATTACTCTATTCTTTTCTGCATTGTTACTCTATGCTTTTCTGCATTATTTCTCTGCTTTTCTGCATTATTACTCTATTCTTTTCTGCATTATTACTCTATGCTTTTCTGCATTATAACTCTATCTTATCGCACTTTCTTGCAGAAATTTGTCCCCCACATAGTGGAAGTTAACTGTTTTATCCAGTTATGATTAGGAAGTGTTTTGTTCCTTATCATGTTCCTAGGAGGAAGCCGTAGCAGGTTAGTAGCATGCATTGTTATCGGCAGATATTTTGGTAAAGCTATACATATTTTGGCATTCTTTATTCGTAACACATTCTGAGAAAAAGGATATAACTTTTTTTTAAGATAGTAATATTTTTGTAGTTTTAAGCAAGCATGCATTTCACAAGTTATTTAAAAATTTTACTAATTTTTTTTATTTAAAATTATGTTTTTAAGAGATTAAATAAACTGTTACAAAGAAAACTTTTGATTTCCTCAAATAAATAGTACATAGTTGGAAATTATATTCTTGTTTTAAAATCATTAACTCGTTTATTCTGATAGATATAAGGAACTTTTTAGGACTGTTTGGAACGAGGTGCAATTGAAAAAAAATGAACATCATAACTTTTTAGCATTTTTGAAGCTTGCTTATTAATACATATATATACTGGTACATATGCTGTACCGGCCTTAAGCAAAAGGTTTATATTTTATTGATAGGTGACCTTTATTCTTTTTATATTTGATGTTTCTTTGAAAGGTATTCTTTATTCTTAATATATTTAATATTTCTTTGATAGGTGGCCATCTGCAGTACGATGTGACTACTTTGATATTAATTGGGCAGTCAGTATATCGAGATAAAAGTCCCACTTCGGAACTTTTAAACAAGTTTAGTGAGAAAAATGGTACTATAAAGCATCTCTTTGTTCTTCTGGCCAAAATGGATCATCAAAGGGCTATGTCGGTTTTGAGACCCTATGGTAAGTATTTTTGTGTGTACTATGTTTAAGGTTTAAAATTTATTTTTTATGTAAACATCTAGATACAATCAAGTCTCTAAATACAGTAAGACATCGATTATCTGAGCTAATTGGGACCGCTAGTACCTCGGATATCGGAAATCTCGGTTAATAGAAATCGGGTATAAAAACCTTCCGTGCTTGCGAATTTAACTACTTTTAATGTAAAAAACAATGGAACGTTTTTTAAATGATAAAAATAAACATATATGAACTTACGTTTCACAGCTAAAAAGATTTAAAAAGGAAATCAACTCTAGTAGTAAATTTTAAAAAGTTTAAATATCGAAAGACGCATTTTCAAAAATAACAAAAATTTCAAGAAAATATTGTATTTTTAAAATTTAGATTATTAAACTTACAAGTCACATGACCACTGTTAACAAAACATTCATGGATGTTGACTTCTCAGGGTGTAATATTTCATGGAAGTTGAGTGCTTTTGTGGGAAATAAGTGCCCTCAACACGGACAACAAACTAATATGTATATAATTTCTTCCAAGCTCATTTTGGAGAGGAGAAAAGAAAATTTAGACTTTGTTATTGCCACGGTTAACAGAAACCTCGGTTAATCAAAGCTCGGTTAATTGAGGTTCTACTGTACTGTTTTCTCAAGAACATTTGAAAAGATCTGTAATATAGGAAATTAATTGTATAATGAAAAAGAAAGTTTTTAAAATGTCTGTGGATATATTTTGAAAAGTTTAACTGGTTAAAGTGCTTGTCATAATTTTCAATTTTGTATATTAAATTTTAGTACTAACTCTAGCTGAGACAGAAGCTCTTCATCGAAATGGTTGCTAAGTTTTTAAAGTATTACAAATAATTACAATTACTGTATGCTTCTGACTGTCTGGCTTAGTAAAAAGAAAAAAGAATAATGCATGCATGCAAATATGAGAAATATTAAAGCACTCATCTGTACAGTGCGCAAAAAAAAAAATATATATATATCACTCCGAATAACTTTTGTTTTAATGATCGGATTTTAGCGTACTAAGTACCAATCTTAATGGTTTCCAAGGGTGACTTCAAATATGCTAATTAATTAGCGCTAACTATAAAGTTATGAAATCAGACTCAAAAATGCACTTCTTCTGAATAAACATGATTTTTCTTTTATATTTCGATTCCTAACCCTCCAAATAGGGGTTTAGACAAAATTTCAAAAAAATTTAATTAAAAATCGGCATGCTAAAAAGTTATATTTATTTGGTATCCACTGTTTTCATCACAGAAGAAATAAACCTTACATTTGCACCCCTTACATTTTGAAGGTTAAAATTCCAAATATGTAAAAAAAAAATGTATGTTTATTCAAAGCAACTATGTTTTTGTGTCTGATTTCATAATTTAATTTATAGTTAGAACTAAATAATTAGCATACTTGAGGTCACCCCAGGAACCATTAAGATCCACACTTAGTACGTGAAAATCGGGTCATTGGAATGAAAATTATTCAGGGTGATATCCTTTTTTTTTTTTGCACACTGTACATGTTGTCTTTTCATTGCTATGACTTTTTACATTTTATGATTCTGGTTATTTATTATAGTGTGTCATATACACCAAAAGTCATGGAGGTGAGGTGTAAAAAAAAATCTATTGGGGTTATTCCATGAAAAATGAGAACAAAATATTAAAAAATTAGCTTTGTTTACTTTTACTAAGACTAATATTCAACTGTTACAGATTCAATTTATTTAAACTTTCTATTCGCGCTAAAGAAATTTGTTCCTGTGGCAACAGTGTGTCAAACATTGCTGTTCTGCTAGACTCAGAATGTGTAGGCAAAACTGTTTTTTAAGGATCATCTTTAACCCCTTAACAATCGGTTAATTTTCAAGAAAACGGTCATAAAAGTGCCTATTTTTTTAGCCTTTGTATTTGTATTACGTATTTGATTAGTGCTAGTTTCTAGTTTAAAATAAACTAACATCTAGTTTAAAATAAACTAACTATCTACAATTACTTTAAAAAATATCCTGGTACTGCCACCTGGTGAGTAAAATGAGAAATAAAATGTTTTCCAGGCAAAAGAAATGAATTAGTTTTATTCTTATTGGTGCGTTACTACTCAGCACTCCAGTTCGTTAATATCACGGGAGCGAGAAATAGAGGGCAAAACCTCACCCCGTCATTTTCACGGGAGCGAGAAGGAAAGGGTTAAGCCATGAAACTTCATTTTAGCCAATTAATCAACTAGAATCCCAGTTAATAAATTAGATCAAGTTACAAACTTTTCTTAGTTTCCTTATTCTTTAGTGAAATTGAAATAATTTTTTGTGTAAGAAATAAACAATTACGTAAGTTACGTTTCAAAATAACATCGTGATACTTCTTTTCTGTTTTACACATGACACAAAAGATGAAAATTTTTCAATAACAATTCGATGAATTGTTTAGTTTTCAAATTTTGTTTTTAAGCATCGATTTAAAATTTTAAAAAATATATTTTGAATAATTGAAATCTTTAAAAAGAAAGTGATCATTATAAAAAATTATAATAATGACAGTAAATATTGAGTAAGTTAACTATTTAAGTTATCTTTTTTGTAATTATGCATTTTTTTTCCTTTTTACATACCTGCCAAGTCTCCTGTTTTTTAACGAAAACTCCTGTATTTTATGACTATCTCCTGTTTACCAGTCTATTGTCTAATTTCTCCGTATTTGTTGAAATTTCAAAAAAAAAAATTTGATGATAAAATATCCGCTGATGGCAAAAATACCTATCTTATTCCTCAACAAATGGTGCTATTGAGTACTGCAGCATGTTGAGTGTGGATAGTTTGGGTTATTATAAATGATGGTTTAAAAAAATCTTCTGGATTTATAAACATATTTTTTACTTTGCTATGTGTAAGTGCTTATATTATTTCCAATTTTGAATTTCTCTTTTTGACTTACATGGTTTTGCATGACGTATCAAATCTTAACTCTTAGCCTAAAAATGTCACTAGTAAAATCTCTTATTTTATTTCTCCAATGTTGGCAGGTATGTTTTACATTTTTGTTACTTGACTTCTTATAGTTACGTTATGCACTGGTCACGTAGGAAGAGGGAACGAATGGGTAGCCCTGGTCACGTAGGAAGAGGGAACGAATAGGTATCAGAACAGGAAACAAATGAAGGGATGTCAGAAGAGAAGGAAGAGGAAACGAATGAAGGGAGATCAGAAGATGAAATGCAGGAATCTATTGGTAGGGATAGAGATAGATAATGTGAATGTGACAGAAAGCAAATTTAGGGCAAATAGAAGGGGGGGGGGAATGCAGACAGAATGATGCTTGCCAAAATAGTAAATTCCTATTAAATCATTTGATCCAATTGCATGTGTATTTTGTGTTGGGGACAGTAAATTATAATTTAAAGTCCTATCGCAAGCTGACAAAATTTTAAAAGATTTAGCATTAGTGAAGAAACAGGCAAGCATCAAGAGTTCTACACATTGAATTTGAAAAAAAAAAGTCATAGAAATAAGAACAATGCAAATAAATTTTGCAATGTAGGAAATTTAGAATTACACCTGGAATAGAATTATAGTTCTGTTATTCATAGCAGTAGTGTTTCTTTATCAGAGTTTGTTCAAAAGATATGTAATTTAATGGATATTAAGGCCAAATATTAAGACTTATTTTCATACTATAAATTACTACACGATTGAATTTTTAAAAATGTTTACTTAAGATATATATAATTTAAATTGAATTATATTGTAGGAAGGCAAGCATTGAAAATTCTATATCATTGTACATGCATTGTAAAGAGATACCAACAATGCAAAAAAGAAGAAAAAAAATAGACCAAAAATTCTTTCTGCATGCAATTGTAATCATATCCTATTTTACATAAAGCACATTTTCTTTCCTGTCTCAGTCAGCAAAGTAGAAATTTATTTTTGAGTTATGGTTTTTGATTGAATGAAACTAGTTTAGATAGCAGATTTTAATTTAAGAAGTTAGCCTGTCTCCATTTTAACTATTTTCATTTAATTCTACAGTTGAAGAAAAATACCACATCTTTCTACGCAATGATAGTACTTATACAGTTGCCAATATGACCTGTTCAAAGAAAGGGGATATACCAAGGCCTTCCATTTCACAGGTACTTTAATAGATCGCATTTTGGTTATACTCTTGGAATATCCTTGGAATTAAATGATCATTTTTTCAGCAAATGTTCCTCTCTCATTTGTAATTTCAATTCTTATTTCATAACTGCCAAAAAAACTTAAGGAAATAAATGAACGATATTTTAATTAATAAAAGAAAATTTTCAACTACAAATCATCCAAAGCAAACCAGTTTAAAAAATATGAAAGGATAGAAGGAAAAATTGAAATGTGTGGATGTGTGCGTCTTATCGAAATATGTGGCTATATCAAGTGGCCAAGTCTAACTATTGACATAAAATTGTAGGGATAAAACTCAGTATTTGTTGTAATATTTTCCACTTGTAATCCATGCAAAAAACTGCATCCTGTTCTTGCAATATTTTATTGAAGAACTAGAAAGCAAATTAAATACTTATTATTTACTCTTATTTATATAGTTAGGACTTTAATTACATTTTGCTATTCTAAGTGTAGTGTTTTAATTGCAAATTTTAACTTTTGTGAATTTTTTTTCAGGATTGAGGGTAATATATATTTTTCTTTTCAGTAGAAAAAAGTCATTCACCAATACTTTCCCTAATTTTTTCTCCGAATGTGCGATTCTATCGCATTTGACGACGTGGCGAGTTGCTAGCTCGGGCTGTACTTTCAGGGCCCATGTAGATTACCCACTTCTATAAAATTTGGGGAAACCCCTATGAGGCCCATGTAGATTACTCTCTTCTATACCGGGTTGGCATGTCATTTACCATGGTTTTCACCATCTTGTAAAAAACCTGTTTGTTGCATGTTTTTTACCTTCTATAAATTTTTTTTTCGCTTCTTCAGAAAAATTACTTCAAAAGAATGCACTTTTACTTTTGTTGATCAGATTCTTTCATGCTGCCTATTTTTCACCTTATATCTATCTATTAAGATCAACATTCAGTGTTATCAGTGAAGTCAAAAGCCACTGCACTTCATTTTATTTTTTTCTTGCATCTTGCAAAAACTTATTCTGTTTTTGCAATTTGTCGTTAGTTATTAACTTCTTTGAGTTTTAACCCTTTCAGGACGGGAAGCGAAAATGCCTGCTTATCGCTGAAGCCGGCAGTCTCTCTTGCGAGTGTCTGTCCAGGGCCGGAGGGTTTTTTGCTGTTAAGCCTAAGTCCATAAAATTACAGAAATATCAATGCGTTGTTTAATAATATTCTGAAGAGTATTTAAATGGCATATGCTTTACATATATTTCTATAGATACTTTATTTACTTAAGTTATTTCTTGTTTAAATATATGTTTTACGCATTTTATTTTCATCATGTACTTATCATTTAATAACTTTTAACATTATATATCTGAAAACTAAATGTATGACTTAAAACTCTTTTTTCGTATGAAAAATTTTAAAACACAAACATTGCACTAAAAACTGGACCGGAAATCGAAATACCCAACGCTGTACCCTCCCCTGCTTACTGTAAGCAAATACAACGTGCGAATTTAAAGAGTTAAAGTTAAAAGTATTTCTTTTTGTTAATCTTTATCTGCAAATTTATTCTTAAATATGCAGATATTGATACTATATTAAGTTAAATTATTTAAAGTGTTAATTCTTATCAAGTTAAATAAAAAAAAAAGTTTGGTGTGACCTCAGAATAATGGGAGTTTTTCAGTACTCTAAATGTTAAAATATGATTGGAACTAATACCATTTTTTTACTAATAGCATTTAACTAATAAACATTTTTTGAAAAAATGTTTATTAAATGTTTGTAATAAAATTTTATTTATCAGTTTTGATAAAGTTGAGAGGGAAAATGATTCCTTAAGCAGACTATAAAGTATAACTTTTCAGATAGTTGTTTAATTTTGTAAATTATAGCTAAGTTAATTTTTCTTCTGGCTCTTTTTTTAAAAAATAAAATTCTGTCCTAAAATTGTCCTGATTTTGTTGTCTTTTTTTTTTTTTTTTTTTTTTTTTTTNCAATCAATTTGTTTCTCTTTTTTTTTTTTTTTTTTTTTTTTTAATTTTTAAATATTTTTTTTTTTTTATCATTTCTTCCTGATTTTCTATTTGAACCATTACAGGACCTGTTTTTGTCTTACATTTTTTTTTTAATGTTTATCATATATTGATTTATAAATTAACCTAACTTTCGGCCTAAATAAAACATTTGTGTATTCATATATTTTCAGTAGCCTTCTGACTTGATAATAACAGTTTTATCTTAATATCTAATGAATACACCATTGATATTCCTTTTTGTTCTGATTTTTGAAATTTTTATGCATAAAATTTTTTTTTTTTTATACTTTTAATGCATTTAAACAAATAATTATTTTAAAAAATTTTAATCTTAAAAATGTGCAGGCAAAGTAAAATATTTTTTTTTCTCCCAGTCATATTTTATGAAAATAAATGACAAAAGCTTGGTAAGATATATCCTTATTTTACCATACTCTTATCACTACTCCATATTTATCAATGGCCCAATTATTCTTTGTAAAAAACTAAGACAAAATTTTTTTAAAAATTATTTTATTACAAAATTCCACAATTTTACTTATTTGAGCTTTCTGGTTAATCGGTTATTCAGTTATTTCCTGTACATAAATACAGCTGTATATAAAGTTAAGATATATAATGATTTAGTACAATAATGTGATTTTAATTTTTAATTAATGGTTATTTGCTCATAGTGAATATCTAATACATTAATCAGTTTTCTAAGTTTTTAGTATTAGGAAGTATCATTTCACTTAGTTATGTGAATAGTTTGTTTCACAATTACAATTTATGTGTATAGCTTGCATCATATCACTTGTCCAGTGGTTTGTTACTTGCTGATATACATATACTTTACCCTACAATAAGAAAATGACACTGAGTTTTTGTAATTTTTTTAAAATTTCTCAAGAAATACTTAAGGAATTATTTTATAACTAGATATGATTAGTTCATGCGACTATTAATACTTAGCTATAAGATTTAAGGCTTTCAGAGGTTTGGGGGACAGACAGTAAATTACGAAAGAAAACAAGTATTTTGAACACCCTATGTCAAAAAATCTATCTTAAAAACAAGCTTGTAACTTGTATTTAATTACTTTAGTTGCTATTTTTAATAGCTGCCTGGAGTAAAAATTTACAAAGATATGGGCATTTTTAAAGAAAAAAAATTAATTCCTTTGCCTTGCATTTTTTTTTTCTAAAACTTTATAAATATTCACAAAGAATTATTTAATTTTAAATTTACAGTATTATATGCCCGAGTTTATATTTGCATTATTTTTATGCACTCACAATACAACGACCTTGTGTTTTACTGCCCTTTATCTTCCAGGTAATGAATCTATTGTAATTAGTCTACTGAATCTACTGTCATGAGTCTACTGAAGAAGAGTTATTTTTGTAAAAGTGTAGCTTATAGATAATTTTTTTTGTACATATTCAACTTATTCAGAAGGATCTTTAAAGCTAAAACAACATTAAATTTTGTATTTGTACTTTTTAAAGAAAAAAAACAAGAAACAAATTTGTTATTTTTATTTAGTTGTTATTGTCCTCAACTCAGAGTTATTCATCTGCATCTCATAAGTCTTCTGTAAGATCTTCTTGCCAAGGAAAAGGTTGCAGTAATTTAGACAATTTCAATCAACAATTTAGTGATCTATCATTAGATTCTAAAGTGCTAAATGTCCCGAAGGAAGAATCTCACTGTATGAAAATGTAAGTATTATTATCGTAAATTTTAATTTTTAATATTTTGCATTTAAGGACGAGGGAAGTTTTCTTTCTATTTCTTTTTTTTCATTTAATTTGTTAAGAGTAAGTAGTGTGAAGAATCTCTAAATTAGTAAAAAGATGAGTTTGAAAAAGATGTTGCTTTCTATTGAAATACTTTTCACATTGGAATTCTTTTAAAAAGTTTTTTCTCATTAATTACTTTAAATTTACAATTATTATATCTGTTGTTTAAATAACTCAAAAGGAAAATTTTCCTCACTTGGATGATAAAAATTTAAAAGATCAGAAAAATTCAATTTTTCATAAAAAAGCTTATCGTGATTGACATTTCAGAAATGTAAATTTTTACCTTCATTGCACTAAAATTTTAATTGGGCGGAAATTTTATGAAATAATGAAACAATCAAGGCTGAAACTTTACTTCACTCAACTTTGATATTTTTCTGGAAAATGTGTGTCCTCAGAGTGGTCATCACCCATCTGAAAACCAGAAATTATCAGGGAATTTTTTTCTTAATTTAAATTTTTTTTTACCATCCATTATGCCAACATATTTTAGACGGAAATTTATTGCCAAACAGTTAAAATTTCAAGAAATTAGCAATGCTTTGCATACAGTAAAATTATAATCTTATATGCTCTATTATAACCATACATGGCAATACTTTTTCTTTCGTTACTTGTGACGGAGGTAAAAGTAAAAGATACGTACTTTTACTTTGTTAGTTTTTAAATTTAGTACTTTTTCTTGTTTTTTCGTTACTTTTTGGAGAAAAGTACAAGCTTCTTTGTTGCCCGTGCAGTACAGAAACGCTTTTAAAAGAGGCAAATATTGATTTTTTAAAATTTTCTTATTTAGGTCGCCAAATATTAATGTGGTGAAAAAGCAGTATTCTGATTGTAAAGAGGAATCAATATCAGATAATTGTCTTTATGATAATGCTTGGAAACAAGGAAAAAACTGCAAAATGCCTTCCCAGTATGCATTTGGTAAATTTGATTTTAACTAATTTATGTGAATGTTTTCCTGTGAAACAGATCACTTTATTGTGTAACACATTTTTGGCCAAAGGTGATATCAATAAATACTTTTTATATTTAATACTGTGATGTGAATTTTTTTTTTTTTTTTTTTTTTTTTTTGGTTAGCAGAGATTTTAAAACTATAAACCTGAAGTAAACTTCAAAAATTTATACAATATTTTTTCACCAAAGGGGATAATTTGAGCATAAAACCCCAAAATTTTTCCTGTCACGCTAACCGCTTTATAACAAATTTTAATTCATAATTATGAAAATAATTTTTTTTAAAGATCAGAATATGATTAGCTGTGTTTTAAACTAAACTCTTTAAGAAAATATTAAGTGCACAATGAAATAGAGCCAAATATATTGTTCAATATTGATTTTTTAAAGAAAGATTCAACATTTTTACTTAAAACATGATAAAAATAAAACAAACTTAGACCTTCGCCTTTACTTCAAAACATGGAGTATACAAATTCTTCATACAAAGTTTCAAAGAATTCTATGAAATTTTTTTTAGTAATGCATGTTAGTGTAAACAGATTTTTTCAATCGCAACGTTTTGCAAAAAATCCTTTCAAAGTATAAGTAACTGTCAAAAAATATTAAAACTATTAATTTTATATGAATAAAATATTTAGAAATCATTACATTGGCCGGAACATTGATTCTAAGTAATCAGTTCAATTTTATAATGAAGTAGAAAATTTCAGTATTATATTAACCTTTTTTTTATAATTTTAATATTGTATATACCTTTATGCAAAATGTAATTTTTTTTATATATAGAATTAAGTTGTATAGGCATTTTAAAATTCCATTTATTTAAATTTCGTAAACTCTTAACTGTATGCTTTTCTGGGTGATTATACTCCTGATAGCTATAGTTTGTCTAAAGTAAGAACTCCCCAAGCCATTCGTCTGAACCCGTTACTAATTCAAGTAGGGCAGTGGGTCATTGCTTAGGACAGGTTTTCGCTAGGGTTGGTGAGTGAACAGGAATCTTATAAACAGGAATGATACGAAATGCGTTATTCTTTTTTCCATAGCAGCAGATAGACAAACTATAATGTGGAAAGTTTGCTCCTTTTTTGGGGTAGCTAAAAAAAATTATAAAATTGTTGTTGTGCATTCAATAGCATCTCCTCCTGAAGAGTGTCTGCTGCCCGACGTAATGCGCATACCCTTTAAAGATATCTGCAAGGCTACAAAAGATTTCAGCAAAGATAGAGTCCTTGGAAAGGGAGGATTTGGCACTGTTTATAAGGGAGAATGGAAAGGAACGTCTGTTGCTATCAAGCGCCTCATGCCAGTAAGTGCTTTTTTGCCATTCATTAAACATAATAATGTATGGAAAATGTGTAGATTTTATGTGTGATGTATTTACAGTAAAATCCTATTTAAAACAATAATATTTTTGGGACCTTATAACTATATTGTTGTATTTTTGGTACACAATTTTTTTAAAAAATTTTATATTATTTATGAACAACTTAAAAATGTATTTAATGGATGTTTTTATGTTGTTGAGTTTATCCTAAAAAGAAGGTTGCTTTCCCCCTGTCATCTTAGAATAAAATACACTCCCGTGTTTGCCAAAATGGACAAAGCTCAAAATTCATGTTGATGAAAATAGACAGAGTTCGAAATGCATATTTAGAAAAACAGACCAATTTTGAAATGTGTGTTTATGAAAATAGACAAGGCAAAAAATGTGCGTTTTTAGTTTTCAACATAAATTTAATGATTAAACTGGGAAAAGGCCACAATTTTGAGGTAGGAGCAGAGTTGGGTGTTGGTTACAGTAACTAAGTACAAACAATTACCACCATGTAATCTCTGATTACATATGTGCATGACTAATTGTAATCACATCAAGAAACGATTACAGGTATTCACCATTGCATGCAATCGTGATTACAGGTAATCAAAGTATATGATTACCGTATGAGCTCAGATCATCATATCTATGTTGTCACAGTGCACTAATAAAAAAACAAAACAAAAATGAACCACCCTGAGTAACTTTTGACCTAATGATCGGATCTTCACGTTCTAGCACTCAATTTTAATGGTTTGGGGTGTGACCTCAAATATGCTAAATAATAAGTGCAGGCGATATTTTAATTTTTGGAATCAGACGCAGAAATATACTTTCTCAGAATAAACATACCTTTCTTTGGACAGATTCGGATTTCCTTTGGGTTCAGTTTTTGCCTGCATTTGCTCATAAAATTTAATTTCTTATCATTATTTATTTTATTGCTATATTTTTAACAAAGGTTTCTTACAGATCTATTTATTTAGTTCAGAAATATTCAATCAAACACAACATTTCTTAAGTAATTTATTGCAAGTTATAGATTGATTGTATTATTAAATTATGTTTTATTTTCACATACATTGTTAGTGACGAAAATTTCGTACAGAGTCATGTTTATGATATTATATGTCTGGGGTTTATAAGATTTATTATGAGTTGTAACATATTGTTTACTGCTGTTGTGATTTATTTTCAGCGACAAAGCTCTCAAGGACCCTCTCAACAGCTTGTTAGCTTGAAGCAATCTTTAAATGAATTAAACGTTTTAAAATGGTAAGCTGCTTGTTAATTTAATGTTTTTTAATAATATTTTTATAAGGTTAGCCCTTTTGAAGTAAAATCCTAAATCTTTTATTTAAGTTACCGTTAATAATGTATGGAAGTATCTATGAGATTATTTTCTTATACTTTTTTTTAAAGATTATTTTAATTTGTTTCTTAGCTGTCGTTTTGACCATATACTGCCTTTGTATGCTGTTTCACTGGATGGTGAAAATCCTTGCCTAGTTTACCAGCTCATGGTTAATGGATCCTTAGAAGATAGGTTGTTTAAGGTATTTATCTCCTTCTAATCATCTGTAAATGTGATTCTGAATCAGTTGGGGGACTAATGAAAAAGTTTGCCATTTAAAAATACCTGAAGAAATTTTGAAAATTAATCCACTGAAACCACCATTTACCACAATGTAAAATCCCTTTCTTACATTAAATTCATTGATTTTGTGATTCTCTGCTGCAAGGCTGTATTAAACCTAGGTTTTTTTTCCAGGCAAAACGTAACTCAGTCTGGGTTTCTCAGGGTGTTAGGGTTTTTTCAGAATAGAATATTTTTTTTTTAGTTCTAAATTACGCTTTTGATCATTTTTGAAAATTCTTTATAGCAGAAAGCTATTCAAGTTCGACAATCAAACTTGAATAGCAGCAGGTTCTGCACTGAATTACTTTTATTTTTTGCTGTTACTTTGTGTATGTAGCGTGTAATTATTTGTTATCTGAGTATTAACTATTTTTACTTTTTCATTTGTAAAGAATAAAACTCCTGCCCTGACCTGGTCTCAAAGAAGTCACATAGCAGAATGTGTAACAAAAGGTCTAAATTATTTGCACACCACACCTGGTAAACCACTTTGCCATGGCGATATCAAGAGGTAATTTTTAGTTTTTGTATGCATTCACTTATGGCCATGTTTTACTTTTTTAGAGGATAATACATTTCTTTCAATGTCTTGTTACAATACAATACTTCGTCAAGGAACTTTTAAATCTGAAATATATATTTTCAAAAATGGACATAGCTCAAAATGCGTGGCTATAAAAGTAGACGAAGGTTGAAATTTGTTTATCAAAATAGTCAAAGCGCACAATGCGTGTTTGCGAAAATTGACAATGCTCAAAATTCGTGTTTATGAAAATGAGTGTAACCCAAAATGCCTGTGTACGATAAAGAACAAAGCTCAAAATGGTATTTACTAAACTGAACATAGCTTTAAATGTGTGTACGCAGAAATGGACAGAGCTCAAAATGCATGATTACGAAAATAGACAGAGTTCGAAATGCATGTTTAGAAAAATGGATGAATTTTGGAATATGTGAATATGAAAATAGAGAGAGCCAAAAATCTGTGTTTTCAGTTTTCTACATAAATTTATCGACTAAACTGGGGAAAATCCACAATTTTGTGGTCGAGGCAGAGTTGGATGTTGATTACTGTAGCTAAGGACAAACAATTACCACTATGTAATCTCTGGTTACATATGTGCATGACTGATTGTAATCACGTCACAAAACAATTACAGGTATTCCCAATTGCATGTAATCGTGATTACAAGTAATTAAAATATAGGATTATAGTTTGAGCTTAAATCATATCTATGTTGTACATTGTGCCAAAAAAACCAGACCACCCTGAATTACTTTTGACCTAATGATCGGATCTTCACATTCTAGCTCCCAATCCTAATGGTTTAGGGGGTGCCCTCAAGTATGCTAATTAATAAGTGCAGACAATATTTTAAGTTACGGAATCAGGCACAAAAACGGATCTATTTTTAATAAACAGACCTTTTCCTCAACGGATTCAGATTTCTAACTCACAAAGTCGCAATCTAAGAAATATGGTCACAATAATTTGGTCAGAAGAACAGTCCACAGTTGTGACCCCTTAATGTGAATTTTACTTTTTGTGTATTTCACCATCAAGTTCAAGTATATTAATCGGAATCTATTGAGAAGCACTTAGTTTTTTTTTTTTTTCAATTGCATGTCAGAATTGTAGTTCTTTCTTTATCTTCTAGTTTAAGCTAAAGTGTTTGAAACAGCTAATTGGGAAAATATTTAAGTGTTATCAGACTATAGCAGTGGTGATTTCTGCCACTTTAGAGAAAAAAATTTGCTGTAAAAGTTCTGTTGCGTTTGGAAAGTATGAAAATACCCACAGTTTTTTTTTCTCAAAATTTTGAACTGTTAAGCGGACATCATTTTAAAAATAAACTTTGTTTTTAATTAGTTTGAGAAATAACAGCATATTGTCTTTTGCAGTGCCAATATTTTGTTGGATGGTAATATGGATGCAAAAATTGGAGATTTTGGTCTGACCAGAGAAGGGCCGGGATGTGAGGATACCCACGTGAAGGTTTCCAGCGTTCATGGCACTGAGTGTTATTTGCCATCAGAGTACTTACGCCACCGTCACTTATCACCACAAGTTGATATTTTCAGCTATGGAATTGTATGTAATCTTATTTACATTTTGATATTATCAGCATGACAAAATTATTTGTGAAATATGATATTCTTGGGGTTTAATGATTCAAATCAAATAGTGTAACATTAATATCAAGAAGTTTTCTTCTTATTTCAGGGGTCTGTTTAGAAGAAATTTGGGTCCATTAACGGAACCTTTCACAAAATATTTTAACTTAAAAATGGACCCTTCACAAAATAATTTATCTTTTAATCGGACCCGTCACAAATTTGTTTATCTTCATTATTGTTTTGTTAATCGAATAAACCCTTCCCAGGAAGGGGGGGGGGAGAAAGACAGATGTAAACGAACTAAATTTTGTCTTCGACAGACGCTTCTTCCATTTTTCGTCCGGAATGAATATTCTTCAGCAGTATAGGATAAATACCAAATATTTGTATGTTGCATCGCTAATTTAGTAGCTGCAATTACTGTTTATTTTTTAAAATTTAATTTTTTTAATTATAATTTTATAGTGTTGAGTTGTTACATCTTGTACATCTTTACAATTTAAAAACTCCTTGAAAAAGTTTTTTTGCAGAATTGGACCCTATTTGTACAAATTCACAAAAGCGGACCTTGGTTGAAAGAATCTGACTTAACGTTTATTTTATATTCAGAAATAACGAGTAATTTTTCACAATTTTACAAAAACGGACCTTATACAAAATGTTTGGACAGACCTCTGTATTTTCTATTATGGAACGTGCTTGTAATATCTTGACCTATGCAACTAAAAAAAAAAAAAAACATTTGTGAAAGCACGAATTCTCAAACAACGAATAATTAAACCCTAAGAGTATCATTTTGGCATGCCTCAAATGTTATCTACTGAATGATTAAAAGTGCCAGTCAGATTCCACTTTAAATTTATTAAAATTTATTATTTTAAAATTTATTTCTTATAGACTACCGCTTAAAAGCAGCACATTCGAAGCACATTCAGAAACAGGTCTTATGCAACTATTCGAGCTTTGTTGAAGACCTGTTTCTAAAAATTTCAAAGGAATATTCTTCTTTTTTTATTTGTTACAGGGGTTGGACAAAATAATGGTAACACTTCTATACCACTAACTCATTTTTTTCATATTTTTCAAGAAACAATAGTGGAATTACTTAGTTTTAGTGGTTAGGTTGTGTGATTCCTCGTGTATATCAATAATGTTTAAAGCTCTTAAGAGGTTTGAGGGACCACCAATAAATTACGAACAAAAAATAGCATTTTTGAACACTCTATGCTAAAAAATAAAGTGATAGGCTTGTAAGTCATGCTAATTAGGTTGATTATCTTATGAAATATCTGCACAAAATTTCGTAAACTTAGCTGAAATAATGAAAATATTGGCTTTTTTTTGAAAAATAAACTTTTATTTTTTTTATTTTTTACTTACGTTTCTTACCATAACTGTAGAAATATTCAATAAAATTAAACAACTAAAGCTTAACTCGGATATGGGAGTAAAAATCAATAACCTATTATCGGTTTAATCAATAAGTTTTAAGCCCAGCTTTTCTTTTAAATTTTCAATATTCATCTACTTAGATAAAGTGTAGGGCTTTACTTTATAAAAGGTGAATAATTTCCCTATAAATTTAATTTGTTTTATTTATACATAAGGCTTCTTTTCCAGAAAATTTTGTATTTGTTCACTTTTGGTAAAAGCAGTGAATATAACTTCTGCAAAATTTTGATTTTTTGCAATTAAAAGGTCACATTAATTGCTTTCATATCTTGCTTTTTTTCCTCTAACTCATAATAGGTATTGATTGAATATGTTCTCTTTTAGTTCACCATTGGCACAAGTACATTTTGATTGAACGTTCGCTAAAAGTCAACCATAAGCAATTGCGTTTTATTAGTTAGTGTAGATCTAGTATAACAAAAAAAAAAAAAAAAAACAGTAAATGGCTATGGTTCACTCTTTGCACAAAAATTTTTTGTCTTATGGTAAAAGTCAATCATGAGCAATTGCATTTTATTAGTTAGTGTAGATCTAGAATAACACAAAAATAGTGTAAATGGCTATGGTTCACTCTTGAACTTCAGAAAATAATTCTAGCTAAATCTAAAGTTTCATTTATTGAACTTACTTTTTTTTTTTAGGTTCTATTAGAAATAGCCACAGGATTACGCCCTTTTGACCCAAAACGATTGGAAGGAAAAAGATTGGTATGTGAACTTCATGCTAGACTACATTATCTGCATGTATATGTGTTTTTTCTCCTATTAATATATATGTTATGGTCCATATAATTAATCTGGTATTGTTAATATTTACTGGTCATTATTAAAAATAACTTATTAAGTTGGTTAAACTGAATAATCTATCAGAATTTCTCAGATTTACAGATTATTATTAATAATTACCAAGAAAGTTAAATGCAATAATTTTCTGTGCAATTGTTTTTGTCATTATCAATAATGACCAAATAAAATTAAGAATATGGTTAACTATAGTAAATGCATTGAAATCAATCCATGAGCTGTCTTTAATTTCATACAATTTAATAAATCTGTATTTCTGGAAGAATATATAAATTTAAAAAGTAATCAAAAATTGTCATTTATCAATAGATAAGAAGATTTTTTAAAAATGGTCCTTTTTAAAGCTATTGTTCTAAAATAAGTAAAAATCTGGTGCATCTGTTCACATATTCTTTTATTTATTTTTTTAACTTTACTAATCTCCACCTCTGTGGCAGAATTTTTTCTGACTTTCTGCGACAAACCTAACTAGAACCAATATCTTTCTGCAAGATATTTTTATCATTATAAATGTATGTGTAGTGAATTTATAATGATAGATGAAATTCGTGTTTATAAAATAAGTCTACATGCATAGAATAAAACTATGTAGATTTTTTTTTCTTAATTTCATAATATAAGTTTACATTTCTTAATAAGTTTAAATTGTTTAAGTATAAATTTGCATAATCTTCGATAATAACGAAAAGTTATAAATGTATAGATCTGCAGACAAAAATGCTTACTAGAGCATAAATAAAGATTACCCAGAACCTGTAATAAGATAGAACTTATAGAAATAGCTAAGAATGGACAAAAAGATTAAATTTATAAAACAAGATAACTGAATTTGAAGTATCAGTTTAAAACAGTATGATTTAATGTTTCACTATAGTAGTTATATCAGGTACAGAAACAAATAAGGTGAAAAAATTAATATTGAAGTTGAGTAATTAAAATAATAAAATAGAATTGACTATAACCAAATTCTAAAAGCAAAAAAATTAAAGCAATGTTTGTTTCAATTTTTTCTACATCTAATTAATTTTATCTAATTAATTATAGATTAATTAGATTCGATTGATATTGTACTGACTTATTGAAAGATTTTTTTTTTAAAAAAAGGAGGTAAATAAAACTTTTTTTGTGATCAGATTAAGTTCAGAACGAAAAAAATACACAGCGCTTGTGATTTCGCACTGTATTGTGTAAATATACAGCACTGATTCCACACGAAGTATGCAGAAGCGGTTTCCGACTCAATATGCTTAAGTCTATTCAACATCTCGAAACGAAATAGTCTTTATCAGTACTGAAACATCGGTATTAGAGCCATACTCATTGGATGCAATTTTTTTCGCATGCATATGGAAACCTGTTTGAAAGTGTTTCACCAGTAAATATTTTCCACCAATCTGGTTTTCATTCACATGCCAAAAAATCGTAGATAGTGAGATATCTTTCTGGCTTTATTTCATTTATCGTTAGATTGTGAGTGTTTTTTTTTTCAATTTTTTTATCGACGACTTAATTCAAAGGATATAGGCATTTTATCTTTAAAAAAAATATATATACATATAGTTATTTTTTACCTTTGACTGCTTCTAAAATTTTTTGATTTGTTGGAAATGCTGTCTCATCCTTACTATCGATATCGCTACTAGTAAGAATATTTTATTCGAATCTAGAACGGTTTTTTTTTCAATATTAGTAGCATGGGAAGCTTCTTTTCCTGTCGCTTTCCAGAAAAAAAATCTCTGACATCGCTAGATGTTGTCGACTTCCATCTTATTTCTTCTTCGGAATGCCGCCTTGAAAAATCAGTTTTGAAATTTGTTTTAATTATTGTGGCTTCACAATTGCAACAAATAACCTTTTCGCTAGACATGATTTTTTTTAAAAAAAGAATCTTTTTACGCATGAAATTTTCCACATAAGTGCAAAAAATATAAAATGCTCTATTCTCATAAGAAAACACAAAGCAAATTACTGTGCCAGCGATAGAGGCCGAAGTTGGCAAATTTCCAAAAATAGCTTAATAAAGGGGAAAAAAATTCTCCCCTTTTTATCTAGTAACTGTTTGTGTTGGAGATTAACGAAGAATTACGAGCGCTTTCTCCTTCCGCGGTACGCTAGGGAAAAAAATATGTAAAGCAATTCTGTAAGAAAAAATTCTTGCAGAACCATTATTGCTTCTGCAGAAATTTTTTGTTTCTGTAGAAAATGTTTTTTTTTTTTTTTTTTTTTTTGGTACAACAGCTTCTGTTTCTGCAGAATCTTTTTTGAGAACTTTTGTTTGTGGCAAACCAAAAATTTTTATTACCCAAATAAAAAAAATCTTTCTGCAAGAGCTCAGTCACTTTCTGCGACAATGTCGCTGTGTCGCCGTGTTTCTGCCACGGGGATCTCCACGATTACAGATTTTTCTCATAGCATACATAATTACATTAAAGTTAAAGTAGCAATAAATTGTGTCTAATTCAGTAAGAAAGTGCCAAAAAACCGATTGAAATAAGATGATTTACACCGGAATTGTCGCAAATCTGCAACATGTTCGAAATTTTTGGAGACTAATGTTTCATATTTTGTTTCATATTTTGCGTTTCTTATGTAATGATCTCCCATTGGTGACTGCTAATCTAGATTTCGAATTATAAAGTGAGAAGAAATTTCTATGGATGCTTCTTGTTCTACTTTTGAGGGAAAAACTAAACCTTGTAAAAAAAAAAAAGTTAAAAAAATATAATCCCTCCAGCTGTAATGTTGATTCTTTTGTTATAAATAAAAGCATCATACTTTTAAACATGCCCATACCTGCCAAGTCTTCTGTTTTTTAACAAAGATTTCTGTATTTTTTTATTATCTCCTGTTTACCCATATATTCTCAAATTCCTGAAGAAATTTTAAAAAAAAGAAATTTTTGGTGTAGAATATCCACTGATGACAAAAATACTTCTTTTATTCCTCAACAGATGGTGCTATTGTTAATAATTACTGCAGTATGTTGAGTGTTAATAGTTTAACTCGAACCCAGATGGCTCAGGAGGTAGACCGATCACTTTCTAATGAGGTGAACTGGGTTCGAATCCCAGGGATGAGTGGTCGACACAAATTCCGATTCCAGCTTGCACCGACCACAGTGATGTAAAACATTCTCAGTGCTCGGCGGATCACAGGTTAGAATTCCTTGAGGTCAGGCAAACAATGAAAGGTTTACCTCTTCATGTAACTCAAATGCGAATTACTTCCAGCAAAAAGTTCACAAAGACAAATTTCTCCCAATACTTGATCTAGGAGTTCCCTTGTCTTCTGTATTGGGTTCAAAATTACAAGGCTACAGAGTTGAACCTCGGAAGTCACAAACCCAAGATTGGGTTGACTGTTCAACGATGGTTATAAAATAAAATACTTTAAATAATTATAAATAATGGTTTTTAAAAAATCTTCTTTAGATTAAGATTTATCTACATTACTTCGCTAAATGTAAGTGCTTATATTATTTCCAATTTTGACTTACTTGATTATGCATGATGTATCAAAACTTTACTCATTTACTATTATGTCGCTAATAAAATCTCCGTTATTTTATGTCTCCAATGTTGGCAGGTATTACATGTCACAAAGTTGTTTTGAGAACTTATTTGACTTCCCATATATATGTAATCTTATTATTTGTTAAAAGGCTGATCATGTGAGAATAAGTGATAAGTCTGGCCATTTGGACGCTCTGAGGGACACGAAGGCTGGCGAGGAAAACATGATATGGTTTCGAGAGCTCATCCAAATAGGTATGAAATGCAGCAGTGAAGAAAAGAGAAAACGCCCTCCTATGCAAGAAGTATGGTTAAAATTCAAATGTTTTTTTTTTTTTAAATTTTATCAATTATTTGTAACAGATAGTAATTTTGTTATGTTTACCAGGTATTGGAGCAATTTGAAAAAATCAGGGAAGAAATGTTTAAACAAGAAAAAATAAGACGTTAGTATTTTTGAAATTTTTCTGTTTTATTTATGATTTTTAAGTTAAAAAAATTTTTTCTTTCTTTTGCTTCCTTCTCAAATTTTCTTTATATAGATTTGCTAGTTTCCTTCTTACTTTAAGGGTCTTTAAAATATTCTGCACTTCTGATATCTGATCTTCTGAAATGTTCTAATAATCTGATGAAAAAAAATTTCTGAAAATAAGTGCTAAGAAAAGTCAAATCTGTAAAAAAATATTGAATTTTTTTTTGTTCATTCAAATGTTACCAATTTAAAAATTAACACTTTTTGTGTAAGTCAGATTAATTTCAATTATCAAATTTCACTTTAATCAGGGTTGTCACTCTGCAGGGAAAACTTGGAAATTACAGTGAATTTAAAAATCACCTAAAATAGAAAAAAATGAAATGAAAATGAAGAGAATTTTGATTTTCTCTTTACAGACTGAAAAAATACAGAGAATTTTGTTTCTTATTTTCGTCTTTTAAAAAATGATTACCTCTAAATGCTAAATCTATGGAATATTTAAGAATGATAATCCAGCTATACTAAACTGGTACTATGTAGTTCTGGGTACTATGGACCTGTAGTTTCCAAATTCTAGTTCACTTAGGCTTAGTAAGTTTTTGTCTATCCTTGCTAGATGGATAGGCCTAAGTATCTTAAATCAGGAGTGGCCAAGCTCTTTAATAGTCGAGCTATTTTCCAAAATTAGAAATTTTTCGTTAAATATTAAACACATTTATTTTACTTCTCTTGACAATTCTTTAACATTTGGTGAATAATTGGTGACAGCACTTCTCAGTAATTCTTTAAGATGCTGGTTAGTTATTACTGATTGGTGTTTGGATATCATGAACTTTAAAGTGGAATAAAATGATTCTCATAAGTACGTTGTTCAGAATATTGAAATAATTAGACAAGCAGCCTTTTTCAATTCAGGATACTTCGATTCTGGTACAAATTTCCAAAATTCAGTAATCGATCTCGACTTATATTTTAATTACAAAGCTTGATCGTCTTGCATCTCTATTAATTCTAATTCTTCAGATGCTTTTTTGGTCATAATTACATTGGAAAAGGAACACTCACCTTGAATTATGTTAATTTCAAATGGGTTCAGAAAAATATTAAAATATAATAGCACGAAAAAGAAAAGGGAACTCGGGTGCATTTATTGAGAGCCACAAATAATCCTTCAAACAGCCGCGTGTGGCTCGTGAGCCGCAGGTTGACCACCCCTGTCTTAAAGTATTCTCCCATTCTGCTTTCAGACAAACATTATGGGGTAAAGACAACTCAGGCCAGAAATCAGGCGTGGTAAGCTTTCATCTATCCTTGCAAGATGAATAGTCCTAAATATATTCTGATGTTTTTGTAGAGCACATGCTAACAGAACTTCCTGCGAGGGGTGATTAGATAAACTTATTTTAAGTAACACTACTGCTCTTCTTATAGGCTTATCAAATGAGAAAGGTGCTTCAATCAAATCTTTCATGGAAGCAGATTTATCTCCTCTTGATATTCAGCGTTTCTATGACCTACAGAATGATGTCAACCACACAGTGCCTAAAGGAGACCAGAGCATCTCAGAAAGAGGTGGTGATCTTGCAAAGGAAAACACACAGTGGTAATAACTGTTTCATTATTATTCATTTTCTTCATTTTATTTTATTTTATAACCATCGTTGAACAGTCGACCCAATGTTTGGGTTTACGATTACTAATGTCCAACTACGCAGCCTTGTAATTTTGAACCTAATTCAGAAGACAAGGGAACTCCTGAATCCAGTATTTTCAGAAATTTGCCTTCGTGGAGGACTTTTCGATGGAACTAATCCGCATTTGCGTTACATGGAGAAAAAGACCACGAGAACCTCCCACAGTTAGTCTGACTGCAAGGGGAGTCTAACCCATGATCCTTCTACCACTGAGGATATTTTATGTCAGCACTGTAGTAGGTGCAAGCCGGGTGCGGAATTGAAATCGACCAGCTGTCACTGGGATCGAACCCAGTTCACCTCATTGGGAGGCGAGCACTCTATCCCCTGAGCCACATTTGTTTGTAAAATCCTTAATATTTCTTAATCACTTGAGTATAATAAATAAATAATTGTATTTTGTTTTTTTCCCGTAATAAATTTGGACTTGGCCAGAATTATTTGAAAATATTTTTTATTATATTATTTAAAAATAACTTTCTAGTTAAATTGTATAAATCTGAAAATTTCGGCACGGTGAAACGACAATAGTTGAAGAATTTAATAAAAGTAAATTTAATGAAAAAATAACTCTTAAGGTGTAATGTGTTAATCTTTTTAATTAATTGTGTTATCCTCAGTGTTAGAGTCCCCTTGTTGTCTGGCTAACCATGGGAGGTTTTCGTGGTTTTCCTCCCCATGTAATGCAAATGTGGGTTAGTTTCGTCAAAAAGTCTTCTACGAAGGCAAATTTTTCACAATACTTGATCTAGGAGTTCCCTTGTTTTCTGGATTGGGTTCAAAATTATAAGGCTACGGAGTTGAACATTAGTTGTCGTAAACCCATAAAACTGGGTCGGCTGTTCAACGACTGTTATAAAATAAAATAAAAAATAAATTAATTGTGTTAATTCATTTCTGATTACATATTAAAAGCTTTTGTGTCTATAATTAACTAACGATATGCATTCAACCTATTTTTTTCTTTTTAGTTCTACCAATAATAATGAGGCTTCATCATCAGCAATTAATAACCAGCAGAAGCCTCCTACTGAGAGTAATCCAGTGGCACCCCTGCCTTTGTTGACAGTTTTGCAATTGCAAGTATCTGAAATGAGTGATGACTCATCTCCTCAAGACTCTTATATTTCAAACTCCTCAAGTTACTCCTTTTCTTAATTGCTAAAACACTGCTTTTTGTTTTCTTTTTTTTTTTCTATAAAAACCATTGTCCAGCAAATCTGAAGCTTTTATTTTTTAAAAGTTTCAGATACTCTAGACAAGACCGTTACTATAATTACTACTTCTTGAATATGATGTACTTAGTTGCTTTTAATTAATGTATCAAATTATTTTACTTGCAGTAATTAATTTTTCCGTTCATATTGGACATACCTAGAATTATTTGATTATTAAATTCAAACCAAAATTTGTTAAGGTTAGCTTTTTATATTTTGATTGCAAAAGCAAAATGAAGTTACTTTAAACAAAACTTACCTATTGTTTAATTATGAAGTGTTTTTAAACTATTTATGACATATAATAAATTACGATATATTAGTAAATTTGAGCTTATATTTATATCAATCTTTGTCAACTCATAATTCTAATTGATAATTCTTAAGGAAAAACAGAATAAGAAATTATTTGTAACAGCCTGGGCCTCTCTAGCCTTATGATAAATCAGGCTATGCAATGGCGCCATTCTAAGATATACTCTTCAGGAGCTAATATCATTTTTTTCAGCTGGACAAAGTTTTTAGCGTGACTATTGCTAAAGAGAACAAATGTAATAATATGATTTTTTTTAAATATATCTAATGCTTGGACTGAGAGATAACATTAACAAATTACAAGTTAATGTGTAACCAAAATTTAGGGAAGAGTTTCAAAAATAAAGTCGTTGGAAATTAAATCTAATTACATTGTTTGTGCCGGTCACTGGTCTATTGGTTACTGTACTGGACTATTGGCTGTGGGGTCAAATCCCACTGTAGGCATGGATATAACTCTCTCTCTCTCTCTCTCTGTCCTATGCCCTTTCTTCTGAGTGAATGTAACCCGCCCTATAAACGGGTTTGTGGTTGAATGACCTGGATGATGCTACTCGACTGCCGTGGCTTACACACATGTGCCCACTGAGTAACGATAATTGAGTAGCATTTCTGAGGCTAACGGGAAATAGACACAAGTGGCCGCCATTAGTTATATTTGTTAAAGGAAGAATAGATTTTGATACTCACTTATGATATTAAATTATAATTAGTTATACTTAATATTATATAATTAATATTTGTCCTTTATAAAAATAAATTAACTGATTTATTTAAAAAGTGGTTAAGAAAAAATTTAAATTTATGAAATAAAGGACGTTTAAAAGCTGCGAAATATGCAATACCTACAATGGCATCACATCAAAATAACCCACCAATGATCCACTCTAAATTATTCATTTCCATCGCAGTTGATGACGCCATAAATTCAAAAGAACCTTTTAGGCGGCAAAAACCTTAAAGTGGTTATGCTTATAATCTAGAGTGTATGAAAAGAAATTTATTTTATAAATAAATGTTATTTTTTATGTGTGTTGTTAAATAAATGTTTGTATGTTAAAAAAATTATTTTCAAAATAAATAAAATATGACATATAAAATATTAGAGTTTCACTGTATTTATTTATATTTTTAATTTCATTGAATTATATTAAAAAACCTATAATGTGCTTATACCTATAATGTGTTTAATATTTTTCCTTTTCTTAATATTTTTCATATTTAATTGTCATAGTAAATAGATTAAAATCTTTTTAAGTTGGGAAACTATATGGAACTGAAAACTACATTGAAAAGTCACGGATTTAGGTGGCCGAAAAATCTAATTTTTAAAATGGAATTTACCCTCCCACCCCTCCAATTTCTTGGTGTTCCGAATATCTGAATTTGTTACAAAATCCCCACTCAGTCATATTTGATTAAAATACATTATGTTTTTATTGTGTTCTTTTAAAAAATGAAAGAAAAAACATAATTTCTAGAGCGAATTATCTTTTAAACTTCGGAGATTTCAGAATTTTTTAAAAATTTATTTTATCAATTTAAAATTCTAGCTGAAGCAAGCAAGCCAGTCATTGGCGAATTATTTTATTCTGAAATGAAAGCAGAAAAATCCGAAGTATGTCCTTCTTTTCCAATGAACAAGAAAAGTATCTTTAGAATGTAATTCTGGAGAAAAAAATTATTTGCTTTTGTATTTTTTCAAGCTATTTTATTGCTTTAAGACTTTCTTTACTCTGTTTTTTGAATTTAAAATCTATATGCTGAGTTTAACAGTTTTGGTTATACCTATCATTTCGTTTAATGTTATTATAATGCTTTTTTTAAATTTATTGTTGTGTTAATGTCAGGGAAAATAGTAACTTTGTTAAGTCTTGAAAAATTCTTGGAATTAGTCAGCAATTTGAAAATACCCTGTACAGTCCGCAAAAAAAAAAAGGATATCACCCTGAATAACTTTCGTTCTAATGATCCGATTTTCACGAACTAAGTGTCAATCTTAATGGTTCCTGGGGGTGACCTCAAATATGCTAATTAATTAGTGCTAACTATTAATTAAGTTACGAAATCAGACACAAAAACGTACTTTCTCTGAATAAACAT